TGCCTCAGCCTCCTGAGTAGCTGGGATTACAGGCATGCGCCACCATGCCCAGCTGATTTTTTGTATTTTTAGTAGAGACGGGGTTTCACCATGTTGACCAGGATGGTCTCGATATCTTGACCTCGTGATCCACCCGCCTCGGCCTCCCAAAGTGCTGGGATTACAGGCTTGAGCCACTGCACCCGGCCTGTTTTTCATTTCTGTTTTGCTTTTGAGATGGAGTCTTGCTCTGTCGCCCAGGCTGGAGTGCAGTGGCATAATCTCACCTCACTGCAACCTCCACTTCCCAGGTTCAAGCAATTCTCATACCTCAGCCTCCTAAGTAGCTGGGATTACAGGCACGCACCACCATGCTGGGCCAATTTTTGTATTTTTAGTAGAGACAGGGTTACACCATGTTGGCCAGGCTAATCTGGAACTTCTGGCCTCAAGTGATCCATCCACCTCAGCCTCCCAAAGTGCTAGGATTACATGCATGAGCCACCATGCCCACCAGAACTTTGATATAAGCAAGAAATGACCTCATTCCATGAAGCCACTGAGGTTTCGGTGTTGTTTTACTAGCTAGTGTTACCTACTCTAACATACCACACGAGCTATGACATACCACAAAATTATTCAACATTTACTAAGCAGCAGCTAATGGCAAGAATGATGTTAGGTGCTATTTACAGCTGAGGGAAGGAGAACTCACCTGTTGGACCATCAGCTTCTCAAATTCCTCCACAATCTCAGGCAAGCTAAGCCACTTGATGCCTGGCAAAAGTCCGAGGACTCGGCTGCCAATCTTCATCAGCAGCAGGTCCATATGCACCTGAGAGAGCAAGCCAGGGTGCAACACCTGTTGGAAAGAGGAACCGTGAGACGGGAAGAATCCACTGGACACATTTTACCTAGCCGGGGCTGGGTCCCACCATCCAAGGAAGAGCCAGGTGGCTTCTCATCAAAGGAAGGAAGATGTGGTCCCGACACCCAAGCAGTTAGTTCACTCCAGATCCTGTTCATTTTCCTCTATCAGACTATTCACACCTCCACTTCAATACAAGAAATGAAACAGCTTGCTTGAAATAAGCACTCAGAGCCGCTCGTGGTGGCTCACACCTGTAATCCCAGCACTTTGGGAGGCTGAGGCGGGTGAATCAACTGAGGTCAGGAGTTTGAGCCCAGCCTGGCCAACATAGTGAAACCCCATCTCTACTAAAAGTACAAAAAATTAGCTGGGTTCGGTGACAGGTGCCGGCATTCCCAGCTACTAGGGAGGCTGAGGCAGGAGAATCCCTTGAACCAGGAGGGGAAGGTTTCAGTGAGCCGAGATCGCGCTATTGCACTCCACCCTGGGAAACAAAAGCAAAACTCCATCTAAAAAAAAAAAACAAAAAAAAAAAAAAAAAAAAAAAAAAAAAAAAAAAAGGAAGAAAGAAACAAACACTCAGATATTGGTCAGGCAAAGAGAAATAAACATAGGGGCGATTTGCACGGCGGGTGTTTCTGATCTGGGAAAGCTCAGTGGGTAGGTGAGCTGTGAGCTCTCAGAGCACTTACTTTCACTGCCACGGGGATGAGGTGACCTGGCTCAGGGTGGTAGCCAGGGACGGGAGCCTGAGATGCCCCTGCACTTGATCCAACCAGGTCAGTATTAGGAAGGAGCAGCCTTTCTAGAAACGACTGGTCTGCGAGATTTCCTGGAGGTTTCTGGCCATTTCCAAGGTATCCAAAGAGCTCTCTCAACCCCGCGACTGCCCCAGCTTCTGAGGAGGGCGGCAGACAGGAGGCCCTGCCAAGTCTCTGGACGCTGTCAATCTCCAGGAATGCGGTGTTGGCGTATGCTTTGTACACCTGGGCCACGCAGCCTGAGCCCACAGGTTCCCGGTTCTCAAAAGAGAGGATGTCCCCCCATTCCTCCCCAAAAGCCTCCCGAAGGAAGCGCTCAGTGTGAGTCCACGGGTGGGGGGTCACTCGGACATGCAGCTTGGAAAACTGGGCACAGAAAGCCTCGGAAAACAGATCGCGCCGGGTGCTGGCCCACTGGCCCAGTTTGATGTAGGTTGGGCCTGAGGTCTCGGTGGCTTTCAGAAGCAGGTGGAGCCAGAGCGTGGAGACGCTGGGAGCCAGGTAGGTGAGCGGGTAGAGGAGAAGGAGGGGGAAGAATTTCACCAGCAGAGCGCCGGCACGAAGCCAGAGGCGGAGATGCAGGAAGACGCCGCCCAGCGGTCCCGCTCGGGGGAGGCTCTCCGCGGGCCCCGCGCCAGCCGCGCCGCTCCAGCGGACCCTTTGCCGACCCAGGACGTCAGGGGCCCCCTCACCCACGTCCCCGCAGGTGGAGACGAGCTTGGGCAAAGTGCCCAGCAGAAGCCAGCAGAGCCTGGCATCGCGAGGGCACTCGGAGGGCCTCAGGAGGCCGAGTCCCTGTCTGAGCTCGAAACACCTCAGGTGCGACAGGAAAACCCTGACGGAGACGCGCCAGGGCGCCACCATCCTCCAGAGGCCCGCGGCCCAGGCCGCCCGCCCTCCGCTTCAGTAGCGCCGGCTCAGGCGAGGCTGCGGTGAGGCCGCAGCCCGGCCCTGCCCCCGCGGACCGAGCTACCCATCCGCGCCGGCTCCGGCCCCGATCGCGCCCACACCTCGCCGGGCCTCAGGCCGGAAGCGCCCGCCCGACACCCGCCGCGCTGCGCCCAAGGGGCTGTCAGGCGGCACCGACTGCGGAACGGGAGGAGCCAGGACCCACGCGAAGACAGGCCCAGGGCGCGCGCGACGAGCGAGGGGACCGCGAGGGCAGAGGCAGAGGCCGGGCAGTCGCAGGGTCACCTCGCGCCCAGGGGCCAGTGCGAGATCCCCGGGGTGGCAGGCAGGTGGGGACTGGGGGGGGCTTTTTTTTTTGTATAAAAACAGCATATTCTTTATTTTGCATACTTTAATTTCAGAACAAAATGAACAAACAAAAAACCACAATACACAACATTCATTTGAATGTGCTGCAGCCCAGTTTACCTGAGATCTTGCTGGAATCCCACATGGTCATGATTTGCGGGAACAATGGCCTCAAACCCAAGGACAATGAGTTCACATCCAAACCCTGGCACTGGCCTATCAACTTTCAGGGCCTACGCTTCTCAGGGGTCAATGACACAGACTTCAGAGTCTATCTGCTTGGCAACCTGGTGGTTTGGTGGCTGAATCTGTTGAGCATCGCCCTCTACCTCCTCTCAGGGAGCATCATTGCTGTAGCCATGCAGAGAGGGACACAGGTGCTGGCGGAGGTTGCAGGGTTGTCCCAGGTCCTGCTGCGAGGAGGTGGCCAGGTCCTGCTC